GCTTGAGCTTTGAAGGCACAAGCTATGGGGGGTTTTAGATTTGCTAGCACCCAGACACCTTGTTTTCCACAAGTGGTGCAGAAGAGTTGTGCAAGCTGAGACGTTGCCGTGACACGAAGGCTCTTGAGTGAAAAGGACTGTGTAGTGTCTTGCGTACTCTGTTGCCATGAAAGAGATGAAGTTGACTTACTTCGAGGAGCCCGGCGAGGGTGAGAAGTACATGTTCGCGGTGTTGCCCCCAGAAGTCTTTGCCGTCAAGAAGCTTGGCTCAGATGAAAGACATACCTGAGTCTGATTGGCCGGAGTGGCAGATCGAAGACGCCGCAGAGTGGGCGAAGATAGCAACTTCGGGAGCCGTGAGGGTACTGGATCCGCAGGAGAGCCAGGAAACTCTGAAGCGTTTGGAGGCCGAAGGCAAGCTAGATCGAGTGATCGATTCCCAGTTTGTTTGTAGGCTCAAGCCGTCGGAGCAGGTCGGAGAACCGGCTTCCAAGAAGTCACGCTTCTGCGTGAGGGGCGATCAAGACCCAGATCGCTTGGACCTTGAGAGGTATTCCCTCACAGTGACCACTCAAAATTTGCAGGTCGTTTTACAACTTGCTGCATCCCTTCAGCTTGAGGGCACTTGCGGAGACCTTAAAGCTGCGTTTACACAGTCCAACCCGCTATTCAGGAAGAACGGCAAGCTGTTCATTCGACAGCCTCGCGGCGGCTTGCCCGGCATGGAGCCAGATCATCGAAGTGGTGGCTGGAGTCTACGGACTACTGGATGGACCAATCCACTGGCGCCAAACTTTGAAAGACTACGTGGTTTCCACTTTGGGCTACAGGCAGAGCAGGTTGGACCCTTGCATCTTCAAGTTGCATTTGGAGCATGGTGCTTTGGAAGGCATCATCATCATCGAGATAGACGACCTTCTGAACTTCGGCCGCGGAGTTCATGCGGAGAAGTTGGCGCAGCTTCAGCAAAGGTTCCGCTTCGGCAAGTTTAAGAAGCTCCAGGACTTGGCAGAGGGCACCATGTTTGATGGTCGTCCGCTGAAGCAGCTTCAGGACTACACCTTGGAAGTGGACATGCAGAAGTATGTGATCGAGCGGTTAGCGCCGATGCACCTCGAAAGAGGACGCCGTTCCAGACCAGATGATCCTGCCACTGAGGATGAACGAAATCGCTTCAGAGGGGCTGTGGGTTCACTGGCGTGGGCAGCTAAGAAATGCCGTCCCGATGCAGCAGCAGCTGCAAGCATTATGGCCTCACGGATGTCCAACCTGAGAGTCGCAGACATAGTGGAGATCAACAAGGCCATCTCCCGTGTGAAGGAGCGACCAGACTTGACACTAAGGTACTTTCCAATTCCTGTCTAGGCGATTCGATGGGGAGTCGTGACGGATGCTTCCTTCACGAACTACGATGATGGGAGCACTCAAGGTGCCTTGGGAGTGATCCACCAGGACACGATGGATGGCGCGAGAGCTCCTTGCTCACTAGTGTGGTGGAAGTCTGGAAAGCTACGTCGCAAAGTCAGCTGCACTCTAGCCGCGGAGACTCAGGCACTTCTGAAAGGACTCGGGGACTTGCTGTGGGCCAAAGCCGTATGGCGCGACCTTCAAGATCGTGATTTCAGCATCGAGCAGTTTGAGGCTTGTGTGAGAAATGAAGCTGAGGTAGTCCTGCAGAAGGCTAAAGCCGACGAAGCTTTGAAGGATTCCCTCTCAGTGGTTGATGCCAAGAGCCTTTATGATAATTTGAAGAAAGACGGGTCTGTTGCTGCTGACAAGTACACAGCTCTTGACGTGGCCATTGCTAGGGAAAGGATTGACGGCCTAGGATGTCAAGTCCACTGGGTCGAGCATCATGCCATGATAGTAGATGCCTTGACCAAGATTTCGGGTAACCCCACGGCTTTGTTCGACCTCCTTGAATCTGGTACTTATGCCATAGTTGACGAAAGCGGCACTTTAGAGAACCGTGTCAAGGAGAGAGAACAGGGTCATGTGAGGAGAAGGTAGCTGCCGACAGGCCAAAGAAAGTTTTGGGTGCTGTGAAAGCGCCTGCAGTTGTGTAGCCTTGGCCTGTCCGCTGCTGTATCCTCTCGAGGGGGCCCCCTTAGTAAGCCTTAGTACCAAAAGCTACCTGTTCTTGCATTCAAAACATTGTGCGCTCGCTTTCCTTTCGCTTCTGCACTGCAAGCTCCAGTCAGCTTTGTCACATGTGTCTCCAGCGTGTATTTTGCGTTCATGGCTTCAGACCACAAGGAACGAATCCTTTTGGCCTCTGCCATTGCCCTCGACAAGACCAAGAGTTCGGCCCCCAAGGTTAACTCCACCTGCCTGTCCTGCTTGTAGGACTTCCATTGCATTGGTGAGAAAGTGGACCAGAACCCGCTCTCAAAGCATTTGGAACAGCAGCAATGACATAACCACCTTGGGATTTCTTCTCGGTCACATTTGCCCATGAGGCGTCTCTCCACACGCAGAATTCAACGTCCTGCTCCGTGGATTGTGTCTCACGACCACCTCCATGCAAGCAAAGTCCTCGCCATGGCAACAGCTTTATTAACTTCAACAAGATCCTTAACACACGCTTGATTCACCCTCTGCTGAAGTAGAGAACGAAAGGCTGCGAGGTCTGGCCGGCTTCCACTAACCAACCAGTTTAGTTCTCCAAGCACGGCACGCATTTGCCTGCGTTCTTCCTCGTTGACAGATGCTTCCCTTTGCCTACGACGCTCCCTGGACAGCTTGACACTCAAGACCCTCAGCATACTCTTTCTGGCTTACATGGATTGAGTAGTCGTCGTCCTGCTTCAGGAACCTGCCCGGGAAGTCACTAGCTCTCTTCTTGAAATGCTTGAAGGGAAACGCCTCACGAAGCTTCTTCAACCTAACAGCATGAAACCACTGAGTCCTGCCGCAAGCAATGTCATCAACATGCAACGCAATGACTCCCTGCAACTTACCATCTGATGAGCGACAAAGATACACGCACGGATCAAGCTTAGAAGCAACACAACCCATGCCTGCCAAAGCCTTGGTGAAGGACCGGTGCCAGCCTTTCGGCGCATCCGCCAGTCCGTAGACTGGTTTCAACACTCAACAACTGCCCCTTCGGGCACCCCTGGTATGCCTTCTGGAGGCACCTCGACCAAGACACGTCTCTATCCCTGCTCCATCAATGCAAGAATTCCGAGAGTGAGAGGACGAGTCCATCCGAAAGGAAGGCCAGCAGGGAAAACAGACACCACAGGAGAGCAAGCTGACGCGTACTCATTGTCAGACAGAGGTCACCGCAAGCCTCGTCACTGATTGCACGGAATAAATCCCTGCGCTGAGACCTAAGATGATGACCGAAGGGGCATGAATGTGGCGCGTTACTGGGTCCCCGGGCGCGCATCATCAGCATCATCGAGGGCTCCATTGCTTGGGCCCAGGCCCAGGCGGGCGTTTGGGCTAATGATGCCTTTCTGTGTGGTCCTGAGGAATGTGACATCGTTCAAAAATCCTTCTGCGGGAAAGCTTAATGCCGCGAGTATATCTAAACCTCCCTGCAAGGCAGCAAAACAGACCTCCCATTGCTGATGATACTCGCATACGCCCTGCCTCCGAGCCCCTTTGCAAACATGGCGAGCATCATCTGCGCAATTGGGGATCCATTCCGCTACTAACATGAAAGCCTTCAGCTCTGCCAAAATTTTCCTCCAAGTGGCAAGTTCATGGGTGCTGCTAGAAAACAGTCCGCATGCTTTGGAAAAAATAGCACCCACGCTGGACAAGTGGAGTGGAAAGTGGACAAGAGAGTTGTGGGAATCAAGAGAATAGTGGTGTGTGGCGAGTGGAGGGTGGAGATGGTGAAAAGTGGAATGGGAGCGGTGGAGGCAGGGTGCCTCGGAAGGAGAGGTTTAAGGAGGCTTTCGGTTTTTTTCCAGACCCCCTAGACCCCTTTGAAAGTTTTTAGAATTTGTTTAGAGGTCCTTGGAAAGTTTGGTGTCAGAGGCCCTGAGGTTCCTTGCAGAGTCTTTTGGAGATGTTCTAGAGCCCCTTGAAATGGTCTTTAGGAGAGCCGAACGTAAGTTCGGCGAGTCGTTTCGTGAGTGCGGTGTGTGCACTATGCGATTTAATGGCCGCATGTGGCATTTCGGTTCGTGTGCTTCCTATCATCCTGTCCTATCAGGTTTTTAAATGCTCCTTTATACCCACCCGCATGAGCTACTTCGGCCTACTGGAGCCTGCTGGAAGGGTGGCAACTACCAACACGAGAATTCAGTCTGGGAGTGCAGAAAAGACAAAGAGGGGCAAGCTTACCTGAGGTCTGCTGCAGCAGAGGGCATCGCAACTGGCGTTGGAGCACCGTTCCTGCGTACACCGCCCAGGGTTTGTTCATGCCGGGTTCGTATTTAGAAGCAGAGCGTAAGGATCGGACTTTTTCGTCGGAAGCGCGGAGCTGCGACCTCAGCATGACAACACATCATACTCGAAGTGCACGCTAAACAAAGCCGCCTTGCAGCAAGGTGGGGAGTGCGCTTGAATGAAGTTGCTTATGGGAGCGGCTCACGGCTGAGAACGCGGCTTTCATTCAACAATTCGTTGCAAGATGAAAGATTGTTGCAAGGTGTGGACTACAAGCGTCGCCTTCGTGGCGGTACGTCAAAACACGTCACGAGTGCTAGTGGTGGCGCTTGGGTTGGCGGGCAACGACCTAAGCTGACTGTCTTGGGCCGATCTTCGGCAAGAAGTGAGCTCTTCCTCTCAGGCTGGTGGACGATGGCCCTGCGATCGCCGAGATCCTCCAAGACCTTCCTCATTTTCTTTTGATTGCCGAAGTCTTGTGGGGGTTCGCAAATTGCCTTCATTTTTCTTGTTTGTACAGGAGGGTTTCAAGCTTTGCCAGCGCAAGCCGCCTGCCGAATTTCTCAAAGTGCCGAAGGCTCAGCAAAGCGCCTCTACCAATCCAAAGACTTTACGAGATCACTGAGTGAAAGTTTGGTGCGCACTTCGCAGCAAAGGCTTGGAGCACGCACTGCGCTCTATGAGGCCGGCTTTCTTCCTTGTGCCCAGACCGTGACGTGTGACCAAAGAGAGTGCAGGTTCCCACCAGAGGCCGCCCTCAATCCGTATCCAAACCAATTGAGCCAATGATGAAGGTTGAGGCTGCTCTGTGCAAATCGCCTCTGCGTGCACTGTAGTTTCCTCACGTTTGGGTCAGGCCGTTCCTCCAGAGAAGCGGTGCCGGCAGCTCCCAGAAGATGCAGTGCGCAAGATGCGCAAGGAAGCTCTATGCACGACCTGCCTTTCGTGCTTGCATTGCTTGCGGTCCATTTCTCTATAAAGGTACGCGACTTAGTGGGTCTCTACAAGAGTCCTGGAAACATGCTTTCTCAAACTGGGTGCTGCCCTTAGCTGTGGCTGACAGTCTCTTGCCAGGTTCCAGTTGTTCCAGTCAGCCTGCGAGTTCATGAAGTACCAGCAAGATAAATTTTCCAGGGCTGACGGTTTGGACATCATCTCAAATTTTGCTTTACCATGTCAAGGTTTGTTTCTGAGAGCAAAGCCTTTTTACATCCCCTTGACCTCAAGCCCTCTCCCTTCATCCTCCCGACCATTCTGTTAGTTCAGACTTCACAGCATATATGTTTTCAGGATGTTGAGTTAAGTGTGCTGGAAGACCGCATGATTTTCATGGATGCAAAGTTCAGGAAGGATTTTGTATTCGCACATTACAACAAAACAATGTAGAGTATTTTTGGGGGGTTTGGGGGAGTCGTTTAAATCTGTCATGCAGAGTCTTCAACGTGCGAGCTGTGTCGTATGAAATGGGGTGCCATCGACAGCCGATGCGATGCTTTTGATTTTATCGTTGCCTATTTATGCTGGTAAGGCAAGTTGGTGCTTCGAGCTGCGAAACTCAACCAGCGCAAGACATGCAGGGTGCTCGCATCTCAGTACTCGACCGCTGCTTTGATTGGTCGTCTGGTCTTCATAGCAGACTCTTTTGAGAGGCCTGCCTCTTCAACAGTGCCCGAAGCGCAGCTTACCCCAAGGTGCCAAGCCCAGCAAAACCTGAAGTCCTTTGTGTATGCAGACTCCGTTGTCTATGCCCAAAAAGTTGTAAGGTCGTGAAATGCGTCTCTCCAGGCAAGGTGGCCATGCCAGCTCATAGGCTGCTGAGCGCTGCATGCGCTGCCTGGACTGCTTTGTGCAACGTGAGGCCCGCCCTCCTTCCAGCCCTTCCCTGTTTGGCGGCCATCTGCCATATCTGTCACTGCCTTAAAAAATAGTGCACACACAACACAGGCTACATGTTCACACAACATGCATGCATAGTTTTTGCAAGCCCATCTGCAAATAAGCTTGCCCCTGCCAGCCTTACGTACCTTCCTTTGCGGCGGCGCCCGTGGCACCTCCCGTGGCACCTATGGTGCCGCCTCTTGCCGGGTCGGTCGTGAGACAAATGCCCGCTTCCCGGCTACTTACTGTAGATTGGGTAGCTTTGCTATGTGTAGGTGTGTCTCATTGGCAGCGAATAGTGGGAATTGAGTGTCCAGCAATGGTGAACACACCTTTGGTCAAGACAGCGTTTAAAAGTTGGGAAGGCCATACAAGACGGTCCTTGCCCCAGCAAGCCCGCTTCCTCGGCGTGAGGCGGGTCACTGTCATATCTGTCGTTCTGAATGCCTTGGAAGTTACAGCCTACTGAAGATACGGATACCACATTTGCTCAGGTATGCTCAGGTCATTCAGCCTGGGGTTTGCAGACTGGACTAGCTCATGCCTCGAATCCGCTTGCAGGCAAGTCCGGCGGCTTGCTGGAGCCCGGTGTCAGGGCCTCAGTTGCGGATGAGCCTGCGCTGCGTACTGAAGCTTCGCGCATTCTCCATGCCATGTCTTCTGAGTGAGAGAGCTTATCCATCAACAGGTGTCCGGAAAAAAATATTAATGCAGCTTGCAGATCACAGAAGGCTGAGGAGGTTAAGCAGAAGCCTATTTGCCAAACGTGCACCAGTGCAACCCCTATCAAGGCGCACCCCTCCCGTGCCACAACCTGCCAAAAGCCAGCTGTTCCACTCACTATGTCAGGTTTGTCAACATGTGAGACGTTTCTTAGACTTTATTCACTGAAGAGGAGTTATCTTGTGAGGCAAGCCGTGCCCCGTTCTACCAGAGGAGCAGATTACAGTCCGAGCAATGTTCATTCCTTGCTGTCAAAGACTAGAAGTAGACCGTAGGGGTTTTGGGCCAGGAGTCACGCACAGACCAAGCTTCAGCCCTTACCTCGAGTGTTCAGATGCCATCACCGCGGCCTGACTGCGGCCATTGAGCTCTGAGTGATCCAAGGTCTGACTGGTTCCACACGTGGCTTGCCGCCAGACATCTCACGTTGGGTCGCGATTGGCGGCCTAGCAACTCCAGTCTAGCGCAACCCACAGCTAATGCAACACCAGGTCTCACTGCTGATGTCGTGCTTGTTTTGCATTCGCTTCAGCCGGTTAGGCGCATGTCTCCCTCCATTTCCTCAGAAGAGACTACTGCAGTTTGTGAAGAGGGGCGTGGTCAGCCAGCCGCATCTTGTAAGCACGTTCAGCTGACGCAGTTAGTGATTCCATTGCCGGCCAGCCTCAACAGTGGTCTTCTAGACAAGATGCAGATGAGAGCAAGTCAATTGCCTGTCTGCTGTGCGGCCGTCGCGATGGAGCCTTCAAGATCAGACCATGCAAGACTGGCAGGAGTCAACAGGGAGACTGGTGAATCTTCCCGTTCTTGCAGTCAATGCAATCGCTGTTTCCAGCACTGCCAAGCAGATGTTTTGTGAAGGCGGCAGATTGCAGGGTCTTCACAAATCGCATTTTCCATGAGCTCTCCGGAGCTATTGCCGACGGTTGGAGTTGCAGAATTTACGCCTGAGTGCCCATAGAGTAGCTGCCAGCACATTGATAGCAATTCCATTCTTGCTAATTCGCGGAAGGATGCGAGGCTTGAAACGGACAGCAGTGGCCATGCAAGGATAACCACTTCTTGCACCACATCGATTGCAGCGTTTTGACCTTGATAGCAAGTCAACACGGCGCCTGCAGTCAAACTTTGCCATACTTTGCCGCAAGCTTCAGCTTCAGGTCAGCTCCTAGATTGTCCAAGACCCCGCATCTAATTCCAAGGTTGCGAATGAAGGTCATGCTCCCTCAGGAACTGGGATTCTGAAATTTTGCATATTCAAAGGATGCAACGATTCAGATGTTCAAATGAGTTCACATGCAAGCGAGCACTTCACGGGTTCGCGGTTGGCGGCTTCTGCGGCAATGCAGAGTCGGGCAGCGCGGACAGCGCTGCAGGTGTTACGGTAGTGGAGCCAGAGTCAAGAAGTGTAATCAGCAATGAGACGACATCATCGTCGCAGACCTTTGCGCATCGACACAAGGGATAAAGTTGTCCTTATGTGATGATGAGGTGTCGTTTCAGGTTTTGAAGAGCGTATCTAGCTTTCAATGGAAATCCCCATGAAAACTTGTCCTTTGTCGTTGGCAGATGCCCAAAATCTTGTGCAATGCAGGATGCCGTCGCCGTAGCAACCCGTTTATGAGGTTCAACACCGGAATCACGCGCCCTGGTCTAGCGAGTCCGTCCGGCTTGCACGTGTCCAAGGTTGGTCAAGATGCCCCCGCGAGCGTAAACCCATGTCTCAACACTGTTCAGCCGATGCCGAGCATTTTTCTAAAAAAGATTAATAACATAATTGTCGAACTGCAAATTGTGCTTGAACACATCGCTAGGCATGGATCTTTTGGCTGACGCTGGGTTCCAGGCGCGATTTTTCCAGATACAAATCTCATGGCTGGAAATTCTCCTTCGAAATTGAGCCCGATTGAGCCCTTTGACTAGGCCAGGCATGCACAAGGCCAGCAACGACTGCATCAAGCAGCCGCTTGTTTGGAGATTTGAAGAGGCTCTCGGTGAATCTGCTGAAGTTGCTGAAAGTGTCATCTCAAGATATATCAAGATAAAAAAAAAGGGAAGCATGGTTTGCCAGCATCGGACCATTGCGAGAACTTGTACCTTGCATGTTTGGCCTCTGCTCCAGAGCTTCTCACGTAGACTTGCTGGAGTGCACCAGGGCGGGCGCATGGTCTTCATAGCCTGGTGCTTATGCCAACTCAGTTTGCCCAGCTATTTTGACGTCGCAGTCACTGGATTACTCTTTCCAAAGGTCGCAGAAGCTAACGTGCCAAAGACAGCGGTGGAGATAGCTGGGGGGCCAATGGCGGAGGCACAGCGACTCGGTTGCTGCCAGGCTTCTTCTGCAAAAACAAGCTGTCTTGCAGGCCCTGTCGTGCTCTGACATTGCGTATTTTCCAACAGGGTGCTCTTTGGCCTCAGCCTTAGCACAGGCAGGAGAGCCAGGACTGCTTGTGAGTCCACCTGTCTTGCAAACAGGAAGATACAAGCAATGTGACTGGCGTCGGAAATTTCATGGCCTTGCCGGACACGCTTGAGCTTGAAGCCTTCAGAAGCTATGGGAGAGAAACCTGCTGGTTAAGACAGGCTCACTGTGCCTACTACCCAGTGATCCGCGAGAAGGCACTGACCTGCGCATGTCGTTCACCTGACACTGATACATTCATGTGGCGCAAGAGTGCCTTGTTTCTGCAAACGTGGCATTTGAATTTGTTTTGGGCTGCCATACTTGAAGGTTCATCAGGCTCATTCAATCGTTAACTGCTGGTAGTTTCGACCTTACTTTTTGGGTTAGTCCAGTAGTCAAACTCAGCTGCCAAATCCTAAGCCCTAAGCTTTCAAATCAGGGTGCGCGTCTCATCCACCTTCACTTACGCAACCCTAAACACATTGGGGTTTAATCCAGGCATACGCCACCAGAAGCCCGGCATGATTGGCATCATTTGTCTCCATGTTTGACCCTAGCCATCACATGATGGAAGGCATTCTAGAAGGCAGCCAAAACCTGTCTAAAAATCTAGAGGCACCTGCCATCCCGTAGAAACGAAGCCTCAAGTGGTACCGATGGGCCGCCCAGAGGGTTGGTATTGCTTGAGAAGCGGATGCCCAGTGATGTTGATGATGCTGGCAACAGGGGCCGCAACCTCCTCAGCATCATTGATGTCCATTTCTAGGCTTGTGGTGGGCGGGAGGAGATTTCTTCTGGATCCAGGCACCAAGCTGGCGCCGAGTTTTTTGGTTAGGACCCTACAGCGATCATATGACTATGCTGGGGTCTGATTCTTCGGGGCTGCGATATTCCAGTCGTCTTAATGTAAGGTTCATCTTTATATAGGGGGTGGTAATAATCAAGCTCCCCGGCCCCAAACATTTCCAGATTTAGGATGTCTTGATGTGATTTTAGCTGCGAACCTATGATGTCCTGGGTACGGCCTATCTACATATTTGAGGAC